ACCTGGACGGCTCGTTTCAGCAGAGGGAAGCGGTGCTTGTATCTGCAGATGTGACCGATGACCTCCTTGAACCCGTTCATGCTGTAGTAGTCCGCCTTCAGGTCCTGCCACTCCAGCTCCACAGACCTTCTGGCCTGGCCTGAGGCAGTGATCAATTCCAGATGGTTGAACATGAGCTGGATTTCTTCCTGGCCAAAGGTCTGGAGCTCCTCTTGGTTCTGAGGCCAGGTAGACAGGTCCAGGATCTTGGATGCTTTCACAAACCGAAGGCTCTGCTGGTCCAACCTCTGAGAGAGAATTCCCCGGCTCTTGTTGCAGATCTTCTCGCGGATGGACTGGAACTTTGATTCAGCAACTCGAAGGTTCTTCAGAGCGACTCCGTTGAAACTTTCACGGAAGTTTTCCTCAAACTCCTGCAGATACTCACCTGGACGGTCCACCATTTGACCTATCTCCTGAATGGCCTCTTCAATTCTGGCTTCCACCTGCCCCACCAGGAGGTACTCTCCCTGAAAGGCAAAGGCCAATCGCGAAAGAACAGCTGTGATGTCCAGCAGGAAGTAGATGAGCTTCACGGACTGATAATCCAGGAGGAACTGGAGGAGGGTTAGGGCGATGGCTGCAGCGTCAGCTCTCTGGGTCTGGCTGCTGATCTCCTTCAGATGTGCCACCACCTCCAGATAATCTTTGATGAGGGCATTAAGAACGTTGGGTTCTCCGATGACCCATCCAACAGCTCTGATGTCTCCGAGGAACTCGGTCTCCTCTGACAGGGTGGCAGCAGTTGATCGGAGCTCAGCCATCATGCGAGGTGAGTAGCGGTAGAAACTGAGAAGTTGCTTAAGGTTGTTTTCCAGGTCTTCCAGGCATGAGAGCTCCTTCCCGCTGATGGCATTCAGTACTTCGAGATGAGGCCGATGAATCAAGACTGGAAGGAAAAGGATCCAAGGAAAGTTCTTCTGAACAGCTACATACAAACTGGCCCTCATCCCTGATGAGATGTTGGTGCCGTCCACCCCCAGACCCACCACCAACAAGTCCTGAAACCTGAGGCCCAGGAGGCCGAAGGCACGATCTATGGCCTGCAGATATCCATCCACACTGACCGCGGACAGTCTCTGCAGGGACAGGAACTCAGTGTTGGGTAAACCCTCATTGGTCAGGAACTGGACGTATATCGCCACCACATCTGAGAAGACATTGTTATTTTGTGCGTCCATGATGACGCTGAGGAAGGGAGACAGACGCATCTTCTCAGCCAGGTCTTCCTTCAAAGTCCGGGAGATGTGGTGGATGAGGACCTGACAGTCCCCTTCGTTCAGGTACTGGTCCACCACCTTAAGCTCACACTTCTTGAGCAGCTCTGCCAGTGGACGAAGGTCGGAGTAGGGTCGTCCCTCCAGAGCCAGGTGGTACGCCGTGTTGAAGAGGAGCGACATGTTCTTGCACATTTCCTCCGTCTTCTCCGGGTGCATCCGGAGCTTGTACAGTTGGAGACACTTCTTGTGGAGGTTGCTCTGACTGTGGAGCTTGATGGTGTGGATCTTGAACTGCCTGGAGCCGATGATGAAGGCTGAGGTTCTGGACGACTGGACGGTGTACTGGCGGCAGACGTGGCACCACATCTCATTCAGGGTTGGTGAATAGCGAAGGAACCAGAATTTTTTCAGCCATTCCTGTTTGAACCGTCGGATCCGTCGCCCTCCGCTGGCTGAAAGTTTCAGAGAGTCTTCAGGAGAAATCACATGGTCCGCAGCAATCGACTCGTCGGCCGAGTCCACCTCCTGGTCGTCTTCATCCAGAACCAGTGCAGTGGGGGTCAGGGGCTCCATCACTGCAAAGACAGAGACACAGTCACCTGGTAGTCTCTAACTTCACCATGGTCTTTAACATCTGGTCCAACCACTAGTTTCCCTAAGTCCCTACCTTGAACATGTTCGATGGGTCCTTGCTCAGGGTGAGGTGGGTCGTGGTCATTCTGGGTCTCCCCTGACATTGATGGACCGACCACGTCTGCCTGTTCACCTTTGACACGGGAAAGCTCGTCCTCCAGCTCCTGGATCCTTCTCTTCAGTTTGACACAGTTGGGGCAGAAGGAGGTGGAGGGTTCCTTCTCCTCCTCTTGGTTTTCCACCTTCAGGTCCTGGACGATGGAAGTGTTTTTGGACCCGTTGAATTCGGTTCCAGGTTTTGCTGCTCTGCACTGGCGATGGATGGAAGTCTGGGAGTTGGACTTGCTGGAGGCCCCTAGAGAGGCTTCCAGGACGTCCTTGAAGATGAAGTCGATCTTCTTCTTCTTGGCTGCAGGTTGACCATCGGACTCATGGCTGGGTTCTTTGATGGGCCAGGGTTTGCCCTGAAGCGCCGACTGCAGGCAGGGAGATGAAGAATCTCCGTGTGTGTTTTCAAGTGTTGCTAATTTCCCCGTATCTACAAAAAAACACCTTTAGTCACATGTGCAGTTTTAAGTTAAAAGGTTCAAATCTCGAAGGTTCTAAAGTTTTTCAGTGACTGTTTTTCCAGGACTGAACTACAGAGCAGTGAGAACCACTTTAAGCTCAGATCTTAAAGTCAGCAGTGCCACCTGCTGGAACACTGCCAGTGCAGCAGTGAAAATGTTACTTCATTTGATTTGATCCTGTCTCTGTCAAAGCTGGTCCATCAGTGACCAGAGTCTCCAGACTCACCTGTGTCCAGGTTGCGGTCGATGCTCTCCTGGGACACACGGTGGAGCTGTTGGATGTAGTCGCTGCTGTACCAGACCCTCAGCTTTTCTCCCACTGTTAACGTCCGAGTGACTCTGAAGTAGATGTGTTTGTCGTGTTGGAACGCGGCTAGGTTTCTGTCGTTCTCCTCTGTGGACGTCCGCACAAACCTACGAGTCAAAAATGTCCAGAGTGAAGGAGGACAAAGTCAGAGGAGGTCTTTATCAGCTCACACAGCCCAAAAAACAGCTGAACATTTGCCAAATTATTCATTATTAATTATTGAAAATTATTATATTATTATTATTATATATAATTTAAAGTTAGAAAAGAAATAGCTAACGATTAGCCAGGAAAAGCATAACGGAAACAGTTGATGTTAAGGTTAAGGTTAAGTTAACCACAGACATGAAAACAGAGCTATGCTATGTTAGCCTATTATTAGCTCAAAGTTTATAAAATGTAGCTAAAAGCTAGCAGGAACTGGTTTTACTGGTTATATAACTTAGACTTGGGGAAAACTGTCAACAATGGTTTAGAGTAAGAGAAGAGAGAATTAAAACGAATGAAATAAAATTGTCACAGAAGGTGGCGCTCACAGTTAGTGTTGACTAACCTCATCCAGTTGGCTCTGGTCTCATCGCTGCCATCTATAGACTGATACGTGTTGTTTACATCCACGACCTGGACCAATCAGAGAAAAGAACTCCGGACTCTGAACTCGGTAGTCCGCTCCGGTTCTGACCTGGACTTTACTCGGTTTTACTCACCATCCAGGAGTAGAATCCAGAAGACTCTTTGGACACCAACTCCCCCTCATACGGACCAAAGATCGCCCCCTTGGGTATGGTTTCATGGATGCAGCGAACGTCTGCCTCACCAGACTCAGTGAAGACCTCCAGACCCGCTGGAACTGTAAGCGCCGCCCTGTTGGCCGTCCCTGGAACTGTCGGTGTGTCAAACAGGAACACAGGTGGACCGTGGGCGGGACACTCCTGCTGGAAATGGTCCTGACACTCCTCACAGACTGTGGGACAGACCTCATCACACACCGGCACCAAGGAAAGTACCAGGAACGCACAGCAGAATAAAAAACAGTGCACCTGGTCCCTGTTCTTCCTAGTACTAATTCCTACATTCACAAGCAATAGTTTTTGGTTCTGTCCTTGGCCCTGGTACTGTTCTTGGTTGCAGTGGTACTGGAGTCTGAAACTCAGTTATTCAGAACGTTGTTTGTTACCTAACAGTTCCAGTCACTTTGTTCTGATTCTTATTGATTGTGTTGCATAAATACATGTTGACTGACTGGTGGAGGACACAGTGTAGTTCCAGGTACTTACACCAGAGGTCCAGCGCTGTCTCCTTGCTCATGATGAAACCATGGAGACAGATGAACCCGGAGCCCCGCCCTCTTCACTGACAGACATTTGGAGGGGACATGAAGACAGAGGACAAACTGTGAGAAGTTACTGGTACTGTCTGAACAAGAGCTCGACAACATTTGGTTCTTTCTAAAACCACTCATGTGATTAAAGACGGTGAAATGAATGGTTGATAAAACCGTTTGTTTGAATCAAACCAGAGTTTCAAAAATCAACAAAAATCTGGTTAAGTAAGTGTGTGTGTGTGTATGTGTGTGTGTGTGTGTGGGGGGGGGCGTAGTTCTGCCACACCGTCCATAGGAACGCCTCTGTCTGTTACAGTTAACTCTGGATTCTCCTGGTCCTGGTCCCGGTCCTGGTCCACAGAGTCTGCCTCCTCTGATCTGGACCAGTAAAGTCCGTACGGACCCGTTAGAACTTCCGTTTTCAAACAGCGGTGAAGCAGAGAAGCAGCGGCCGCCGCTCAGTCTCTCAGCTCGGCTTCACCGCTGGCGACCAGCCCGCTGTTTTCGGAAGCCATTTTCACTGGTCACAGTGGCGACCCCCCTCTCCCCCCAACACACACACAAACATACACACACACACCTGGAGCAGGGGGACGCCTCTGTCCCTTCTTGTCTCCGCTCCACTACCGGAGACCACCGGTGTCCCGCTCCGTCTGCAGCCGACAACCGAGCTCCGGCCCCGGATTCACGCAGCAAAGTTCTCCCTTAATTTTCTGCAGCACTCAGTCGCCGCCTCCTCGAGCTGTGGCCACCATTTTAATATTTTTATTTTTTTTTACTTTATCACAGGAAATGACATAGAAGACGGAAGAAAAGAAATTAAAGTTCACAGGCAGAATGAGACAGAGAACAGAAGTGGTGGACAGAAGTCAGAGACATTCAAAAGAAAAAGGCAGGGACAGTCAGGAATCGAGGACGGCGAGGACAGAGACAGAGCTGAAAAAGACAAAGGTCAGGAAGATGATCCAGGAGGGAAGGACAGGACAGACACAGGTACAGAGGACAGTGAAGACAAGGACAGTCCGAGAAAGAGAGAAAGACAAATTCAACAAACTGATAAAGGACAGTGGGGGACAGCAAGAGAGGACATGTGATGAAGAGGACGCAGACTAAGGTGACAGAGTGACAGCTGGACAGACAGGGAGTCAAAGAGAGACACAAAGGACAGAGGGACATTTACAGTCAGAGAGGACAGAGACTGGGGCAGGACATGAAGACAGAGGACAGTCAGAGAGGACAGAAAGAGTGGACGTGGACAGACCTCCATCAGACATTGAAAACGTCTTCTCTAGGAATTCACTGTTTTTTAAACACAGTCTGTAGCTCCCACAGTCTCCTGCAGGAGGGGCTGTTTTTACTGTTTAGCAAAAATTAAATGAGTAAAAACTTCTGTGTTCCTGTAATGGAAACTGGAGAGTTAAAGTAAGGCAGCACCGACCACTGACCACAGTGATGCTGCCCTCTGCTGGACCACCTTTGAAAACGCCATGAAAACATACAGTTCCTGCTGTGCAATCATTAGAACCTGCAATCACGATGTCTGGGATTCATCTCGTTAAAGTCCATCCATCTTCATCTGCTTATCTGTTATCTGTCGCGGGGGCAGCAGTCTCTATGACCACCACCCAAATCACATTGCACCGTACCAACCCCCCCCCCCCCCCCCCCCCCCCGGGGGGGGGCCCACGTTTATGGTCTTCATTAAATCCCATCATCCACCCACGATAAAACAGCTCAGAGACCACAGATGTCCTCAGCTCAGACCAGGGACCCTGGTCCACCAGATCCTGGTCTAATATTTGTCCAAAGCTAAAGTTAGTGGAGACATTTGAATTATCTAAATAAAAGTTTCAGAGTCATCTGACGCTGTGAAAAAGCTCCTCTGTAATTAACAATGTCTCTTCCTCCTTCCTCTCCCTATTCTCTTCCTCCTCCTCCTTCCCCTCCTTTATATAACTCTATAAACAGGAGGATCCTCCACCCAACAACAGTCATGAAACTGCAGCACAGGCTGAGGTCCAGCACCCTGATCCTACTGGTTATCCTGCAGGTCTCAGCCATGGTCCTCTTCAGGATCTGGTACCTGAAAGCCAACACCTGCACCTCCACCATCTCCACCAACCAAAAGGTCCATGTCCTGCTGCTGTCCTCCTGGCGATCGGGCTCCTCCTTCCTGGGTCAGGCCTTCAACCAGCACCCAAACGTCTTCTACCTGATGGAGCCCGGTTGGCACCTCTGGACCACCATGCAGAAACCAGGCATGCGCTCAATGAAGATGGCACTGAGGGATCTGATGAGGAACCTGTTCCTCTGCGACTTCTCCGTCATGGACTCCTACCTTCCGGACCAGCGTAACATTTCCTCCTTGTTCATGTGGAGTCACAGCCGAGCGCTGTGTTCTCCTCCAGTCTGTTCTCTCACCCCACGAGACCAGTTCAGCAACCAGACGCTTTGTGACAAGAAGTGTGATTCACGGGGTCTAGAGAAGGTCCAGGAGGCCTGCACCACCTACAGTCACGTGGTCTTAAAAGAAGTCCGGTTCTTTGAGCTGGAATCTCTTTATCCACTTTTCCAGGACCCCAGTCTGGATCTCCGAATCATCCACCTGATCCGAGACCCCAGGGCTGTGGAGCGCTCCAGGGAGGAGTCCATCAACTCCTTCTTGAAGGACAGCGCTATCGTCTTGGAACAGAAGAGCATACCCAGAGCTGAGATCGAGCTCCTCGTCATGCAGGAGATTTGTCGTAGCCACACACGAATCTTTGAAAGGGCTAAGTGTGAACATCCTCGCCACTGACAGAGCCATTGTGTTGGAGCAGAACGTTGTTTCTGAAGCTGAGGCAGAGAACCAGGTCCTGCAGGAGATCTGTCGTAGTCATGTCCACATCTACAAAAAGGCCACCGTGAACGCGCCCCCGTTCCTGACAGGTCGATACAGGATGGTACGCTTTGAAGACTTGGTTCGAAACCCTCTGGAGGAAATGGCTGCGTTATATGAGTTTGCTGGTCTGGAGATGACGCCCCTGCTGGGGGACTGGATCTACACCCTGACCCATGGAAAACTGCCTTCAAGGGACGCTACCTTTAAGGTCACTTCACGAGACGCCAGCTACGTCTCGCAGGCCTGGCGCAACGAGCTGCTGCACGGCAAAGTCAGACGTATCCAGCAGGTGTGTGAAGAGGCCATGGCTGTGATCGGGTACCGAGCCGCCGACAGTGAAGAACAACAAAAGAACATTAGCGTAGATCTGCTGGTGCCACGGAACTCATCTCAGTTCAGATGGTAGCTATAAAAAAAAGAGCAAGTGACATCATCAGTTATAGACGTCACATGATTGGGCGTTCGCAAATATTTTCATTGTGATCAATTAGGGACAACTGTGATCAATTGTATCAAATATCAATATTTGACAATGAGACTTACAAATGTAATTTTTTAATTAATCTAACTGTTGGTTAATAAATAAACCTCCAGGGGGAGCTAAGGAACAGAAATGATTACATTTTCACTATCACTGTGTCCACTGAGTATAAAAGTCATTTTACAGTTACAGTTGAACTCTGTCCTGACATTTTGACATACCTATTAGAACGGTGGACACACACAGCAGCATTCTGACATTCTACATGTCAAGATGAAAACAGGAAGTGATTTCTGACTTCAATTGTTAAATTTCTTTAAACCTCCCAAACAATATAGAGAAAAGAATTGTGTTAGTGTAATTTGACACAGCAGCCACCAGAGGTCAGTGCTAAGATGGCGTCACAAAGAAGCCTTTTATCCCAGTTCCTGAGCTGGAATTGAGCTCCACAGTAAAACCAGTCTGAAGTTCGACCACAGTCAGAACAGAAGTTCCACAGTTCTCCTAACATAAAGTAGAACCTCAGCCGTAGGGTTCTGTAGAACCCGGACCAGACCAGGAGATTAGCTGTGGGCTGGACTGCAGGTCTCACATGTCCTCAGGTGCTGTCCTCTCCTTCCTGTCTCTGGTTTCAGCCTCGACAACCCTTCACACACTCCTGCCCCCTTCAGGTGGAAAACAATAGGGTCTTTCATTATTGAAGTGTGTTTTCAAATGGCCTCCAACAGAAAACTGGAGCCGGAGACGACGTTTCAGTCGAACTGGACCAAGACCACAGAACTCTTACTGCTGCTGCTACTGTGCTGCTGAGTAAAAAGTAAAGAAAGTGAGTAAAAATCACTCGTTTTCTCTATGGACTTAAGTGTGTGTGTGTGTGTGTGGGGGGGGCTGTTGTGACAGCTGATGTGGAGCAGGGACAAATCCGTTGGTGTGTTCACAGCTGGTCCTCTGGTTCTGTCTATGGTTCTGTCCATCTGCTGCAGGTCAGTGTCGTCTGAGGACAGACGAACATGAAGCCTGTCCTCATACGACACTGGGGTATTTACATTCTCTGTGTGTGTGTGAGTGTGTGTGAGTCACTTGTTGTGACAAACAGCAGGTTGTGTGTTTGTGTCGAGTCCGTCCACTGGGACAGTTTGGTGTCACTGGAGAAAAAGGCTGAGGCTGGAACAGAGACAGAACCACAGACTGAGGGTCAGCAGCAGGTCACAGGTTCCACAGGTTCCACATCTGGGTTCCTGACTGTCAGCGTGACCTCCTCAGCTGCAGCTGTTGTCGCTGGACTCAGACCAGGGTCAGGAGAAAACAAGTCTCACCCTCAACAGCCTCCTTGGAGCTGGCGGAGGAGAAGAGAGAGGAGTCACCTGGAAATCAAACATGTCAGCACCGAGCTAACTGCTAGCTCGTAACAGTTAGCCACAGCAGGTTAGTACAGCAGGAGCAGCCAAGAGTTAGCCAAAATCTCCTCCTGGTTTTTTACCTGCTCCCACCAGGGGTCGCTACAGCAGAGTGTCCGCCTCCACCTCACCCTGTCCCTCACCTCCTGTACAAACAAAGATCATTAAATGTTAGCCATGAAAACCCTGGCAGTAAAAAGACTGCTTCGTTTTTCTTCAGTTTTTTTTTTTCAAATAAACAAATGGAATAATGGAAATTAGGTTAGCTCTGAGAGATAAACGGACTAAGTGTCACTGACACACACACACACACACGCTCTCTCTTTCTCTGTATTTTGTCCAGCTGTTATTTGAGAGTGAAGGTGTGGTTTGTGGTCTTTCACACACAGATGTAGATCTCAGATGTTCACACTCTCTCCACAGATGGACTGATAAACTCATGAATGGTGAAGGCTGACGTGTCACTGACTTTAAGGGACATTTTTATAGATTTTAGAACTGATGCTCAACCTCTGGCTCCTGGGCCGTAAAGAAAACTCGGGTGTGGTTCTTAAACCAAATGATTCATAGTTCTACTACAGTACTACTCGTACTACAGTAGTCCTACAGTACAATATATCTGACCTGACCTTTGACCTTCCTCTCATACAAGAACAAAAGGACAGAGAGGACAACAGGAGACGGAGGGATGGGGGCTTCCTGTCCACATTGTCCCAGATAAGGGACCTACTTCTAGAAAGCACCGTCTTTGTTTGACCACCGGGGCTGTGAGCGAGCTGCGATATAAATCTGGAAACGGTGACCTGAGGTGAAGAACAGCAGGGACAATGAAAAAAAGAGGAATTCATTAGTCCATCAGTGGGTCACACATGGAGACAAACTACCATTCACACTCACACTCCCACATTCACACTCACACACTCATGCTAACGCTGACGTGGCATTAGTTGAACTTCTCAGATCAAATATTGAGCGACGTAAATCCTGTGATCCGTGAATCCATCAACACCAGCACCGTCTCCAAAGACAGTGTTGTAGTTTGATTAGTCACTTTAGTAATCTGTCAGTGTGTTGTTACAGCTGGTCTAATGTCATCCTCAAGGTGTGTCTGTGTGGGAGTACATGTAAAACATAAGGAAATTTGGAAACAGTGGCACAAACCAGATAAAAAACCAATATCTGTACATTTGTGTGTCTCACTTTTTAATGATCTTTCTAGATGTTCTGTCCAGTCCAGATATTTTTTGGCAGATTAAGGTGTGTTACTCATTTGTTATCATGTTATCAGTACGACTAATTGTCTTTTCCACATTAACTACTTGTTTTATTTTGCTCTTCCTCAAAGTTTCGAGGTCTTCAGACTGACTGATAAATAACAACAGAGTAAAAAGTTAAAAAACTACAAGTGGTTGTCCAGTGGCTGCAGCTTCCTCATGTGTGGCTCCTTCTTCTCCTTTCCTCAGGTGGAACCGACCTTACCAAACCACGCCCCCCACCAGGAAACATAATCCTGTTTTCATGTGATTTGGCAGCACAGCCTGAGGCAGGACGGAGCCTGAAGTGGAAAAATCTGGATGGATGTGAGGAGGGAACCTGGAGTGACGTGTCAGAGCGACAGGTAGGAGACTGAGGAGAGACGCTGGCAGCAGGGCGTGCTCCTCCATTCAGCTGGAACACTTCTGAAGTTTAGGACTCCGGTTCAAAAGAAAACAACTGGACTAGAACTTTTATTGCTCATTCAAGACTCTTCAGTTCTGAAGTGACGTTGAGTGAGTCCAGGAGAACGTTTTTCAGATCATCCACAGGTCAGTCTGATGATGTTTTTATCCTGATCCTGATATAATCCCGAGGATGTTTAAGTCAAGACAGGTTTCAGATTACTAACATGTCAATAATGGACTTTGATCTGAGCTAAAATCATTGACTTTGGTGTTAACGTTGTCAGCTGCGCTCCCATTCTTACTGCCTGTGGACAGAGTTGCATTTGATCATCATCGTAATCATTCATTTTCAATGACACGACTTGTGATGTAATTGCTGTGGGGTGGAGTTTTAGCTTTGTGATCTTAGGAATTTCAACTGAAGATGTTTTCCACAGTTGTGTTGTACACAGTTGTACAGGGAATTGAACCGACAGCAGCAGCAGCAGCAGCTGTGACACATTAATGTTCAAATCCATCCAGAGGAAACAGAATATAACAGAGGATCAAACCTACTTCCTGTCAGAGCCAGATTCATTTCCTGTCACTTAGCCACAACTTTGAGCTAAGAAAGAGGAGTGATGGGAAGCTGGGGTAAGGAGGGGGAGGCGGAGGTGACAGACCACAGCACAGTTTAGAACAGGAACAGCTCTAAACAGCACCTTATAAAAGAAGGTGAAGTTTCTTTTAACTTTCCAAACAAACCTAAAGTGAAGACAAAAAACAAACAACCAACAGAATCACATTAACATAGAATGACAGCAGAGAGCACACCCTAGTGGGAGGAGGGGTTGGGTCAGGGCACGGGTCAAACATCAGAGGAAGACTGAAACGTCAGCCGAACTCTTCTGCTGTCAGTGATTAAAAATACAAGAATGAGGAGGAAACATTTGCAACGTCACGGGTTTTTTTTTTCCGTCATTGTTTGACATAATGAAACATAAAACCGGTTCCACGGCTGAGACTGCCAGAAGAAACCTGCTGCTCCGGACCAGACCGACAACAAGCGGAGATCAACGCTGCACCAGGTGAAACATGGTCCGCCCCAGACAAGAGGCCCACATTTCAACACAAGGCTTTGGTCCTGACAGGAAGTCAAACCGGTCACGTTTGGACAGAGACGACAAGAACAAAGAAATCTGAATCCCAACAGTCAATGATGACACCAGGATAATTCAGTCCACTTTTAACCAGAAACTACAGATGAGGTGGAGACAGAGAACAGACAAACTAAAAAAAAACTTTTAGTTCTTTGGTCCAGACTTTAGACTTGAGAAAATAAATGTTAAAATAAACAACAACAGGCCAAAAATGTTTTGATGTTGAAAAAGTGTTAGCCCAGAATTTATCCAGGTTCGGCAGAAATAAACTAAAATTTTAACAATTATTCCAATAAAAGAAAATGGGCATGGGCATCTAAAATAATTAACTGAATAAAGTAAAAAAAAAAAAACAGTTAAAAATAACACTTTAGTCCAGGGTTGTTTCTCTAACGACAGAAAATGGATCGATTAATAAAAGTTAATAATAAATAGGTACTATATGAGTATGACATTAGCAGTTAAATTAATGAATAAATAAACTTAATGACTCAGCACAGACATAGGTCCCCGCCGACAAAACAGAAGGAGGGACAGATATGAGGAGTCCAGTTGTCAGTTTCTGGTCCCGCCCTCGGACCCTCGACCCCCCGGCCCAGGAGCGACACTCTTCGAATAGTGGAGCTGCTGGCCACGTCTCAAAACCCTGCTGCGACACATTAGCCTTGCTACAGCCGGAATTAAACCGTTTTACAGCGGGAATAAAACGTGTCTTGAATCGGACTGTTCTGTTCTTCAGCGGGGATCGGACTGATTTTCTGCGGGGATCGGACTCTTCTTCAGCGGTGATCAGAGTGGTTCAGCTGCGGTCGGCGGCTGCGGTCTCCTAGCAGCGGTCGCAAACAAAATCCACGGTAAGAAAAAGTGTACCGTGTGAGTGTGGGGACAGGCGGTTCTAAAATCTTCCCAATTTTTTCCTTTTTTTCCTTTTTCTGTTCGACCTGTTGATTCCTTCCCGGACACCGAGGAATCACAGGCGGCTGTTGAAGCACAGAGAACCGGTTCGGTCGGCCGTGTTCCTGATCGACTTCCACGGTTCTCATAACAGACACGTCCAAGTTATTAAGAAATAAAAAAATGTATTTTAAAAAACAAAAAACCGATCCGTTTCAAAACGCGTCTAAAACCAGTCTGAGATTGAGACCTGTGTTCTACCACACTGGACACGGGGACATGGTTGGACAAGATGAAGACACAGACCCTGGACCTGGCAGTGTCCACTGTCTCTAACTGTTCTGACCTTGTGAGGTCAACCACACCATCAGTCAGAGACATGTGACTGTTCTCTCTGTTTCAGTTGTTCTGTCCAGTTCTGTATAGAACCATAGTCTAAGAACCTGGAGGAAGTCGTAGATCATATCAATCCATAAAATTAATCATATTAATTTTCAGGTCTAAACGAGTTCTGGATCCACATATCTGAAGTTCCCAGGTCCTCTAACCACTTCCTGTTAGACTGCTGCCTCCATCACTGAGTTTTATTAAGCAGCTAAAATAAATAAATGAGCTGGTAATAGTTAAAGATTGAGTTTGCGATCTAGACATTTTCATGTCACTCTCATGGTGTTTGGACTTTTTCTACATTTTGATTTTAATGTAAATTATTTGTGACACCATTGGATGAGAACTTCCTCCACGTTCACATCAGCAGGTCAAACATTGACCACCTTTAAACGCAACCAGATGATGATAAACAGAGTTTTATGGGACTGTGTAGGAGAAACACTGGGTGGAAAGGCATCTTTACAATAAAGGGAGAGACGGGGAGGGGGCGCTGTAAAAAAAAAGGAGCGGTCCCACAACTCACCCCCCCACCCCTGTCTGTGTGCTGTTTACTTTCATTTCCCCCAGGGTGTGAAGGTAATGTCCTCATGTCAGGGCTTGCTCAGCAAACACAGCAAATGAGTCAGTCAACAGAAGGACTCGGAGTCGAGCTGCAATCTCAGCCTGGGTCAGCCTGGGGCGGCCCGGCTGGTCTGGGGCGGCCCGGTTGGTCTGGGGCGGTTACACTGTACTCTTCTTCTAATATGATCTTATCATATGTTCATCGTCCATGTCCAATTTTGTCCATGTCTATTTTTGTTCTCAAACAAAGTCAACAATGTTTCCGTGTACTAAGGCGTGGTTGACCAACCTGTTTCCTTCTGTGACAGACGGCGGTGGTGACAGATACGTCAGGTTATCCTTCTTTTATCTGATAAGAGTCTTCAGACTCAGATTCAAACCAGGAGCCACTTCTCTGTCGTTCACACCAAACCCCATGAATTAATCCATGAATTGGATTCTGCTGTGGTGTTTCTCCGTCGACTTTGGTCCAGAGGTTGACAAATGAATTTTTTTGACTGTTGTGTGATTTTATCCAACTCTCGGATTTCCCAGAAATCTGTTCTCCATCTTTCTCCCACCAACCTTTGCCTCCTTCGTGTCTTATCAACCTCTGGTTCTCGTCACTGCTCTCTTTCTGCTACATTTACCAACATCCACGCTGTGAGTGGAACTTTCCTTGTGGAGGTCATAGATTACACTCTGGTGCCGTGACCCTGACATTTCATTCACCTCCACAGTTACACTAATACAAGGTGACACCAGCTGCCACTGCTCAAGGGTTGGGTAAAATGCCCTTTTTTAGGACTTTTGATTTTATTGTGGCTAAATATACTAAAGTTTAAATAGATAGAAGTTAGTTCTTGTGTTTATGTTTTGTCCTTTTCTCTTTAGAAACTTAAAGATGTATATTTGATGTATTTTTGAGCTAACGTTTAACAATTTTAACTTGAATTTGTCCTGAAGACAATCCTGGTTTTAGGTATTTTGAGGGTTTTTCACCCTGACGTTTAGAAACAGTTTCATAATATGGTCAACAGTCTAAAGGTTAAAACGCACAGATACCATATCAGCATTCATAAAGCACATGACCTATACAAAAGCTCAATCCTGTTCCGGCCAATTAAAAATAAACATCGGAGCTTCTGTGGTTCAACCCCATAAAACAAATGGCTTAGTTCTGTTGTCTCTATATTTATATAACTCTGTTACACATTCTAATCCATACTTTTTTTTGAGCTGGAGCCAATCACATCAAAACCATGCATTCATGGTAAGAAGTATTTTATGTATGGATAGTATAACAACGTTATTCATATTTAAAATAACTTTAATAACTTTTTTAATACTTCAGAGACTTATCATAATCTAAAAATATTGGTCTGGTTTAAAACTTCACACATTTATTGTATTCAGAGTAAAAACATATATATATATATATATATATATATTGTATGGCTCCCAGAGAAATACGTTTTAAAATATGTGACCGTTCTAGTCAATCCATATGAATGTAAATGAGTTCGTGGGTGGATGTTTCTCCTTCCTGACCGTGATCTGTCTCTGCTGTCACTCCACAGAAGACCAAAGTAGAAGGTCCTTGGTCAAACACCCAGCACCAGGGCTGGGGAGCTGCTGTGAAGATGCACTACAGAGTAAAACCCAGCACCATGCTCATGCTCCTGATCCTGTCGGCGGTCACAGTGGTGGTGTTCAGAGGCCTGTACCTCCCCGTCTGGTCTTGCACCTCCCAACCCACCAACCAAAAGGTCCATGTCCTGCTGCTGTCCTCCTGGCGATCGGGCTCCTCCTTCCTGGGTCAGGCCTTCAACCAGCACCCAAACGTCTTCTACCTGATGGAGCCCGGTTGGCACCTCTGGACCACCATGCAGAAACCAGGCATGCGCTCAATGAAGATGGCACTGAGGGATCTGATGAGGAACCTGTTCCTCTGCGACTTCTCCGTCATGGACTCCTACCTTCCGGACCAGCGTAACATTTCCTCCTTGTTCATGTGGAGTCACAGCCGAGCGCTGTGTTCTCCTCCAGTCTGTTCTCTCACCCCACGAGACCAGTTCAGCAACCAGACGCTTTGTGACAAGAAGTGTGATTCACGGGGTCTAGAGAAGGTCCAGGAGGCCTGCACCACCTACAGTCACGTGGTCTTAAAAGAAGTCCGGTTCTTTGAGCTGGAATCTCTTTATCCACTTTTCCAGGACCCCAGTCTGGATCTCCGAATCATCCACCTGATCCGAGACCCCAGGGCTGTGGAGCGCTCCAGGGAGGAGTCCATCAACTCCTTCTTGAAGGACAGCGCTATCGTCTTGGAACAGAAGAGCATACCCAGAGCTGAGATCGAGCTCCTCGTCATGCAGGAGATTTGTCGTAGCCACACACGAATCTTTGAAAGGGCTATGCAGAAACCCCCCCCATTTCTGAAAGGTCGCTACAAGATGGTTCGCTATGAGGACTTGGCACGAAACCCTCTGGAAGAACTGACCGCCCTTTATGACTTCATTGGTCTGGAGATGACGCCCAAGCTAGAAGAGTGGATCTACAGGGTTACCCACGGAAAAGACAGGCGCAGCGTCAAAGACGCTTTTACGATCACCTCACGAAACGCCATGAGCATGTCGGAGGCCTGGCGCACCAAGCTGTCACACAGCAAGGTCAAACGAATCCAACAGGTGTGTAGAGGAGCCATGTCATTGATCGGGTACAGAACTGTGGACAGCGACGCAGAACAGAAGAGGCTGGACATAGATCTGCTGGTGCCACGAGAGCCGTACCAGTTCAGCTGGTTACCCTCAAAAGCAGAAGAGACAGAGGAGCCGAAGAAGAATTAGTCACATGGTCATCCGAGGACCAGACTGGGTGGGAACTCAAAGAACAGACTCTGAGCTGAACGCTTGCTGCACACACACGTAACACAATAATTAGTACTTATCAGTGACTGAGTGACGACGTGTCGATACAGACACGGAACTTCCGCTTTCTAATGGAACTTTTTCAAGACAATCCTGAGGCTAAGGAGAAGCCACCACTGTCATATGTCACAGGGACAGGAAGTTTGATCTCTAGTCTGTCTGGAGAGTAGATGAATGCAAATGTCATTTCCTAACTTCAACACTTGGGGTCCAGTGTGTAAGATGCACTGAGGTCTGGCACAGACGCATTACAGGATGTAGAACTCCAAAAAAAAAAGGATTTATTAATGTATTAATTCATTAACTGCAGTGGAAATCACTTGTTGGCTGTGAGGTTACACACTGGACAAACGCATGAGAAAAAAATAACACTTGAATTCAATCTGGTTAAACCTGGTTAAACCTTAGCACCAAGACGTGTTTACTGGTCCAAAAACTATTTCAAATCGTTTCCTGTGGAAGCGATCAATTTAAAATTAAATATTTAACGTATTATTTTATTACCAGTGTTTATTTATGGTACGGGCATGTTGTCAAAAATAATTTAAAAAGATCTTATCACTGTCACTGTTTACCAACTGAAGTTACTGTAAACACTCTGGAGGTGCCCCTGGTGGCTGACTGATTAAAAAACCTCACTTCCCACCTTCAAAAAAGCACTGTTGTTATAGTCTGTCTGTAGAGGGACATGATTGACAGCTACAAGAGGAGGACAGAGGTCACTCTGTGTGTGTGTGTGTGTGTGTGTGTGCGTGCGTGTGTGTGTGTATGAAGGTCATGCTTCAGTTTTCACTGTGTAGTGACAGTGTTATCAAACCAACTTTTATTAATTATTACAAATTACTACACCAATATCTTAAAACAACAGTAGACCAGAAGCTGCTGGTCCACCGCTGCCTTCTGTGGTCAGTGTGTGTCACTAAGGTAAATCTAATTTTAATTATAGTTTTATTAAATAGCTTTTTTTTCCAGAAACGTGTACTACCTTTTTAAACTTGCTAAATTCATGTTGATGACTGAATCAATGAACGGACGTCCAGGAAAATATCATGAACTGAAATGTTAGATGTCATCGCTATCCACAGCTCAGAACAAACTCACAGTACGAGGACAGATATATTTATTTTATTACAAGGACTGTTGAAGCTAACGTTAGCTCTGGTGTCTGTAAATGTCATTTTTCTGACACTTTATATGTCTTAAACTAAATGATCTGAATTTACACCCCAGCTCTAAAACTATGATGATATTTATTCACCAGCTTGAGCCCACTGATGAAGGAAATGTGTCAGAACACTGAACACGAGTCCCTGTTCAATATGAAATATCGTGTATGTATAATAAACTTACACCCGTGCCTTTGAGCTGACAGCTCTGTTAGTTTAGCTTTTAATCTGAAGGAGAGTTTACTTTAAAGGAGGTACTAATGAATGCAAATAAACCTTTTCTGTGACACTATTGATGTTTCTGTCTTCTATTACTAAACTATAAACTGCAAACCAGCATAAACCGGTGTCAAGAATGTAAATTACAGCTGGCTTAAAATAGTTAGAAATATACCGCAGTACAAGTTACACAATGTTAGCAATATACAGCTTAAACAGCCTTTTGTCAGTTAACCGTTGATAACTACTGTATGTCACACCGTATTAACTGACCGCTAGCTAAGAAGCTTTTTGGTAGCTAATAAGCCACAAGCAGCTAAAACTGCTATTAAAAGCTAAAGTTTGGTGTTTTTTTTAAAAAAAAAACCACATATTTTAGCAAAAATTTAAAAACGTTTTTTAAAAAAGCCACATATTTTAGCAAAAATTTAAAAACGTTTTAAAAAGATTTTGTTGAAGACGTTTGTTAAGGTTTAATTAAGTCTTGATGACAATCAGCCAGGTTACCAATAGCCTTAGAAAATGTCACTACTCACCGTGTTGCTCTTTCCGCTGCTTCAGTTCATGATCATAATTTTCTTTGAAATGTTTATGCTCTTAAAATATTTTTTCGCTGACATCTAGAAGGACATTAACGAACTCAAAGCTCTGTTGGTCCCAAAGTAACACACCTGCTCTTCATCGATGGTCATTTAAAATAAATGGTGGGTTGTGGCGATCTCTACTGGCCAAACACAAAAGTGCATTTAATCAAATAAAAAGAGAAATTAACCCTGGTTCTCAAATAAGCGAACAAACGTAAATTAATAAAAAGCTTTTATATTGTGGAGAGACAACAATTCATTCATATAAATAAAATAAAAATTTCAATTTTACTTACAGGTGTACAGCATGAAATCATTTTAAGACAAATTTATTAAGTGTGACGTTCCAGAAGATTCCCCAATAGATGCTAAAATGATAATGCTAACTGCTAATCAGGAGTGGCTACAGAAGAAACCAAGACCACCGCGAATGAACAGCGTCCATGAGAAAGGTGAGCTGTAGAAGGTAATGATGGCCGAATTTGCTGGTATTGTTCTTATATATATGTATATATATATATATAATTACATGGGTTATTAAATAAAACAATTAAATAGTTTAGGGGTTAGATTATGGGAATTGTTTGGTTTTAATTGGGTTTCTGTTTTTATGTCAAAAAGTAAAACCACTGAGGCAAAGGTGTTAAAATGCCTTTCATTACACCGGAAGTTAGCGTCAATTCCTGCCGTAAACGGACTTTAATTTGTAAACGTTTACCGGAAATTGTTTGATAACGGCATTCGTTCACTTCATTGTGCTGCTGCGCGGTTTGAGCAGCAGAAGCAGCAGCAGTGCTTCAGGAGTCCCAACAACAGCAGCACCGATGGCCGCTCCGCCTGCGGACTAAACGATGGCCTCCGCCACCGTGGTACCGACACCTGATCGTCAGCCATGGCCAGATCCAGTAGCAGAAGCGGCGGGGCCGCGGACACGCGTGTGACCGCCGCGGCAGAGCACGGAGAACCGCGGGAGCTGCACTCCGAGCCCCGGGAACTGTCTCTGGAGGAGGTGCTGAAGTCCTACGAACAGCCCATAAACGAGGAGCAGGCGTGGGCCGTGTGCTACCAGTGCTGCAGCGGGCTCAGGCTGCCCCGCCCGCCGGCACAAGCAGCCACACGAGTCAAAGACCCGTCCTCCATCCTCCTGCACAGGGACGGTACCGTATGGCTGCGGCCGGATCCGCGCAACCCCGGTAGGTGCCTATCAGCGCTTAAAAACAAAACTCGACTGCGAAAAAGTTGCATTTTACGATTTTCACACAGACTGCTGACTGCGTTAACTTTTCACTTTCGCTTTTTTGGGTTTGTTTGAAACAGCCGTCAACACTGCGTTGTTCGGTTTTGGTTTTTAGTTGAGATTCAAAACCTTTGGCCTAAAATCTTGACTTTGAAACTTGTCCCTTGTGTAGAAACACTGCAGCCGTTTGAGTGATCAACGGCCGCTGAGGCCCAGTGTAAACAGCCACTGTTTAGGTTTTTTTTTGCTACTCTTACTGTATAATAACTGCGCCGAATAATAAGGAATAGTTTTTATAAAACGTTTAAAACATTTTCATTTTCATTAGGGACATAAATGAAATATATTATTTTAAAAAAATCAAAAGTGCTTTGGCAGAGTGGTGACACAGTTCCCTCCTGTTGTTCCAGTGGGGACCTCGACACCGGGGTAGGACCAAAACAAAAGCTCATTCACTAAAGCGTCACATTTTCCCCAGTAAACGTCACTGCATGTTCCTTTAACGTTTGCACTTCCACTTGAATTGATTGATTAAGCACAGGAGTGCTGCCCCCTGTGTCAGAAATATTTGTAGTTGTGTATTTTTTTTCTTTTTTTTGTTGAAGAATACTCAAGTTGATCAACTAACAATTCCTTATTTTCTAATGAAACCACAGGGAGGTCAGTGACGTGGAGTTTCCAGCTCTGACCTCCTGCAGCCATCGACCGTTCTCAGCTCGGTTCGACCTTGTACGCGGACAGTTGTGTGGGTTTTGTTTTGCACATGGTGCCAGGAGCACTGAGGAATGGTTAATAATTCATCACACACACACACACACACACACATAAATCCTCGTCCTTCTCCCAGGACTGTGTTTGGATCTGCATCATCTGCTGCTGCGTGTGCAGTGTTTCTGACCAAAGCTGAGGACCAGGTCCTGAAGACTGCACAGACACAACATTAATCTTTTAAGGTGACCAATGACAAAACATCAGATTATTCTTTTAGGAAAAGTTTGCTGCTTTGCCAGGACACTGCAGTCACCCCAACCCTCAACGCCCCACCAAAGTCCATCCAGAAAATCACAGATTTTTGCCCGGAGACACAGGGATCTCTGGGCCACTGCTGCCACGTCCAAGTTATACCTTCATTCAAACCTTATTTGTGTGACAGATCAGTTTGTTGTCAGACTGAGGTAAGGATCATCGGGGTCAAAGTCAACGTCCATCTGTGGCACTGCTTTATTAATAAACATATTGTATATCTTCTCGTCTGTGGCCCAGTGGAGACGGTCCCACATCTCCTCTCTCTGTCCACCAGTACAAACATCTGGTCTCTGCTCCCTGGCCAGGACACCCTGCTGGAGTCAACGTGGGCCCAGTCTGGACCCGTGACAATCCAGACTGAGGTCAGGACCCTGGTTTGGAAATCTGTGGAATGATCATGGAGCTGTTGATTGTCCTGGGGGTGTGATGTTTCTGTGACGACAATGAAGGTGTGACTCAGGTCTGACTGTGGGAACAGAGAGAGGAAGTGTCACCAGAGACCAGCTCTGGTCTGGGTCCTGTATTGTGTCAACCAGTCTGACAGGTTCAGAGGGGTTCAGGTTCTCACCTCAGTCCTTTAGGGCAGAGGTGTGTGTGTGTGTGTGTGTGTTTTGTTACAATAATGTGGGAGTTTCTTCTTCTATAGTTTCAGCTGCTGAAATGTGAAACGTGAGTCAGAATTGCTGGACAAAAAGGAGAAATCAAAATCCACTGTAGTTTAAAGTTGTCAGAACACTGTTGTGTATCTCAGATGGCCGGTCCGCCTGACAATACATTTAAAATCTCTTCACGTCGCTAGGTGCTGCTGTTCCGCTGCTGCCCCTAGTGGCCAGTTTGTGCTAATGATGTAATTCTGGACTAATCCAACCATAATACATTTGGACTTGGTGATGGATGCCGTGTCTATCTGAAATAAAATCACTGATTTTGGTCTGTGAGACTGAGGTCTAGATAAGAACCTGGTGGGACAGAACTGAGAGTCTGTTGTTGGTGATGGTCCAGGTCGTTATACCAGTGTCAGTACTTGAGTGTTCTGAGCTCAGCACTCTGTAAGAGGCTGACATCACCCCCTCACCCCTCTCCCCCCCTTCTACTGCATCTGATTTTCTCTGGTCTTTTGCTCTCATTTTCTGTCTGTCTCTCCGTCCTGCTGGCGTCTCCTCCTCTCGTCCTCCTGGACGTCTCTCTGCAGTCAGAGCTGCTGATGGATAAGGTCCAGGTCTCCTGGGTGTAGTTACTGATATCTGAGCTGGGAGTAAGGGCAAGAGAGAGAGAGAGAGAGAGAGAGAGGGAGCTTTTATACTGTCATACACTCAGGATACACACCCTCCTGCAACACAATATGACGTGGCCCACTTACCAGTGTGGGACGCATTTGAGTTGGCTTTTTTATGGTCACCATAAAGTCCTAGACAACAGTAACTACAACAGTAAAAACAGTGACAACAACAACAGTGACAACAGTGACAACAGGATCCAACTGTTCAGAATATTCTGGTGCCTTTCACTGTTGTGAATAAACAGTTGTTTTTTTTCATTGTCTCCTCAGGGGACACTGATGGACATCGTCCTCCTGTGACCACAGAGAACCAGGTGAGAAGACGACGACAACTGTTGTTGAATTCTTAGACAGTGTCAGAGATGGTTGTGAACGTCTCCTCCTCTCCTGACAGCTGGTCCAGTCTCTGGGCGTGGCCATCTACCGCGCTCTGGACTGGGGGCTGGATGACAGCGAGGAGCGGGAGCTCAGCCCCCAACTGGAACGACTGATTGAGCGAATGGTCGGCAGCAGCGGTCAGAGCGCGTACAGGAGCACGTCCATCAGAAACGGAACCACAGATGAAGGCTACAGTGGACAGGAGGAGGAGGAGGAGGAAGAAGAGGAGCAGGAGGAAGGAGGAGGGGTCAGGGCAGTGTGCACGTTGCGCCAGGTGATGGTGCTGTGTGCGTCTCGGCTGGCGAGCCCCAGCTTGGCTCCGGAGCATTACCAGGCGGTCTGCAGGGCCTTGTTTCTGGAGACTCTGGAGCTGCAGACCTTCCTGGTGAAGATCAGAGATGCCAAAGAGGTGAAGAAGAAGAAGAAGATGAAGACGACAGTCGGCGACCGTCACTGCTGATCAATCATTAGTCTTTCTGTCTGTTTCCTCAGATGTTGAAGAAGATCTCTTCAGAAGAAACTCTGGAGGACAGGTCCACAGCTGAGCTGGACACTCTGAAGCACACAGACTGGGTGAGTGGACACGTTGGACCGTCCTGTGGTCCTGAGACCGTTATCCTGACCGTTGTTGTTGTTGTTGTTGTTGTTGTGTCTCAGGCCCGTCTGTGGGTGCAGCTGATGAAGGAGCTGAGGCAGGGAGTGAAGTTGAAGAAGGTCCAGGAGCAGCAGTTTGACCCCCTGCCCACAGAGTTCAGTCTCACGCCCTTCGAGATGTTGATGCAGGACATCAGAGCTCGACGCTTCCAGCTGAGGAAGGTCATGGTGAGACGTGGGCCAACGACACAGTTGGGGTTCAGTCAGAGTCAGAGCAGATCATTCACACGCTCCTCCTCTTCTTCCTCCTCCTCTGTCCTCTCCTGCAGGTGGATGGAGACATTCCGACCAGGGTGAAGAGGAACGCCCATGAACTGATCCTGGACTTCATCAGGTCACGACCCCCCCTCAAACCAGTGAGTCAGAGAATATTAACAACAACAGTAGAACATATATCTGTGTGAGCGTTAAAGATATATTTCCTGTCACCTCCTCCTCCTCCTCTTCCTCCTTCTCTACCTCCACCTTCTTCTCTTTTTCAGGTGACGGAGCGCAGCCTTCCCCCTCCTCCCCCCCAGGAGCCATGTCTCCATGACCAGGTTCTGGCTGAGATCAAACAGGAGAGGAGGCTCCGCCCCGTGGCCACGCCCTCCTCCAGAGGTGAGTTGGTCAGCTGACCGTTGTCCCTGCAGTCACTGGTGTTGACGTTCACCTGGTCAACCTGTGGTCTCCTCCCTGTCAGCCTTCGGCTCTCTGCCCTGCCTCGTCCGCACCTGTCCCTACAGCGTCAAGTCCACTTCCTGTATTGACCTATCGGCTTCGGAATCTGGAGCCCGCCCACCATCCCGTACTCGAGTTCTACTCAAGGCGCCCACCCTCGCAGAGATGGAGGAGATGAACATATCTGAGGTAAGGTCACCATCTGCAACATACCTGCTCCTGCTCCTGCCTCTGCTCCTGCTCCTGTTCCTGCTCCTGCTCCTGCTCCTGCTCCTGCTCCTGGTCCTGGTCCTGCTCCTGGTCCTGATCATCAGCTGCTGTAGTACCTGGGTCCAGGACTCATGACCTAGTCTTGGAAGAACCTGGATCAATGAGAATCTGGAGTCAAACCTGATTCTCTGAGGAACTGATTTTGACACCTTCCTCCTCCTCTGCCTTTTCTCCTCTCCTTGGTCTCCTTAGGAGGACGAGTCTCCAGACAGCAGTGAGCGGAGGAGAGCAGAGAGCGCCCCCACCCCAATGAAAAGAGACCGCTCCTTCTCAGAACACGACCTGGCGTTGTTCCGTGGAGAGTCGCCTCCTTCACTCTCAGACTCACCGCAGCTGGACGGAGCAGTTAGACTGAGGAGCGAGAGGCCGAGGTCCAGGACCATGTCCAGTGCAGGACCACCTCCTTACTACAGGGGTCAGTATGGAGCAGAGAAGTCTCCTTTTAGACCAAAGATCATCATCGTTTCCCTCAAAAAGATATTTTGATGAACTGACAAAAAGACGTTTGTTGTGTTTTTGAATTTCATAATCCCAACACAGGGGGGCAGCAGAGGACCAGCAACTTCTTTGTTCAGTTTAACCCTCAACACAGCTTCTTGTCAAGCTGTGACGTTGGAGATAAAGAGTGCACTTTATAAATATTTATTAATAATAAACGTCAATCAAAGCTGCAGAGGAATGAGCAGATGATCAGGGAGGGTCGTTTGGTCCAGATGAGTTAGATCAGGCATGGGCAAACTACAGCCGGGGGCCGGATGTGGCCCATTCAGCTTTTTATTCCGGCCCACCAAACTTTTCCAAAGTATAATAATTTATTTATATCATCATTATACTTCTGCCTTTTCCCTGCAATACCGAGGTTTTCCAATAGATGGTGTAGAAAATGCTAAAACCATTTTAGCCTTTATGCCTGATTTACATGTCATTTATCTTCGTTCACATGAACACGCCATCTCTCTGCTCCTGACACCACCCACACCACTTGTGGTCCACGAGTCAAAACGTTTTCCCACGTCTAAATTAGATGGTCCAGATGGTCCAGGGAAGAGATAGTTGGACCTCGGTCACACACTGTCGACGTGTTGGTCAGAGCGGCCCACGGCCCTCACTGGTAGAAGGGGTTTATCATCACAAACAAAGATTGTGCTGACAACGTTCAACTGACAGACTAGGGAGGTAGCGGGGGGGGGGGGGGGGAGGGGGGGGGGGGGGGGGGGTTAATGGGTCTGAATGTGGTCGGATGGTTTTAGTGGTTGGTGCATCAGCCGAGTCTCTGTTCTCAGACAGTGGTAATGGATTCAGGATGATGATGATGATAAATGAAACCCAGAGTTGAAGTTCACTGTCCAGTGTTTGACTTCCATAACCCCCCCCCTCCCATGATGTTGTTATTTACCTGACTGTGTGTGACAGCGTCGTACCCAGGTCACAGCTGGGCCCCCTCCTCTCCAGCCCGTCTGTCTCTGACTTCAGTGGATGAAACCACGGAGTCCTCGGAGGGAATGTCTCACTGCAGAGCTGGAGATGAACACCAGTGGATGGTGAGTGAGAGTGATGACATCATCACCACCTTCATCATTGTCATTAGAGATGATGGCGGGTACCAAAATTATCAGCATGTTCTGGTCTCATGGTCCAAAATATCAGGATTTCTTTCTTATTTGACTGATGGACTCTGCACCAAACCTCATAGAGAAAATCAGTGATTCTAGTTCACATAGACGGAGCAGTTGTTGGTCCACTGCTTCATTCATCACTAAATTCAAATATGTTATTTTCTGACTTCACTGTTTGAAGTCACTACAGATTCACCTCAGTGAAACACACTGACCACAGGAGGCAGCAGTGGGCCAGCAGCTCCAGTGTCTCTATGAACAAAAATCACTCATTTCTCTTTGGGCTTCAGTAGAGGGATTGATGGAATTATCTATGAAGTCAAAGTGGGTCATGTGATCACAGCCTGTCTTTAATCTCGGACCCCCTTCCCCCCTGTTCTGTGGACAGGAGTTCAGTCACCCTGTGGAGAGTCTGACTCTGACGGTGGATGAGGTCATCAACGTGCGTCGAGTTCTGATCAAAGCAGAGATGGAGAAGTTTCTACAGAGCAAAGAGCTTTACAACAACCTGAAGAAAGGAAAGGTGAGGACTAGGACCAGGACAAGGACCAGGACAAGGACCAGGACGCTGCTGTCTTCACTGCACTGACCCTGTGTCTTGTGTGTCCCTCAGGTGTGCTGCTGCTGCAGAGTAAAGTTCCCCCTCTTCTCTTGGCCGTCCACTTGTCTCCTCTGTAAAAGGTAACAGACAAACATTCACTGCTACTAGTACTCTGTATACTGGTACAATTTATACTGGTACTCTGTATACTGGTACAATTTATACTGGTACTCTGTACTGGTACTCTGTATACTGTATACTGGTACAATGTATACTGGTACTCTGTATACTGGTACAATTTATACTGGTACTCTGTATACTAGCATCAGGCCTGATATTTGCCTCAAAGACTCTGTACCATCTTCTCAGTCCTCCTCCTTCAGTCCAGTCCAGTAACAGAGCTGAAGACCAGCCTCAGTTTAGCCCCCTGGTGGACAGATTAGGAGTCTACACCTCACCCAGTCACTAACTTAATGAACCAGCACTGATTTCAATGGTTCATTCAAACATGGAAACAGTTCTACACACGGAACCGTTCTGTTGGTGCTGAAGTTCTGCTTCCTTTCTGATCAGCTGACTGTGTGAACTATGAAGAGTTTTGTTTTTTTCTATCTTTATATTCTATTCTACTATTCTGCCATCACCGTTTATTTATAACAACGCAACCTAAAAAGTACCAGGACCAGTTGTCATGGAGTTCCCAAATTCAAACAGTCCTTCAGGATTCTGTCGTTCTGATGAGTTCTTGTTCTCCCCTCAGGTCTGTGTGTGGATCCTGCAGTGCTAAGGTAACACACACACACACACACACACACTTACTGGTGGTATATCTATACCATATATATGTTCATTTCTTAATAATAGCATGTGAAAATAATTCAACTTGTTTGTTTGTCACAGATGAAGATTCCCTCCAAAAAAATGGCTCACATTCCAGTCTACACGGTCGGGTTCCACAGCACGCCCAAGATCCACGGACACAGGAGTCCGGTCTACAAGTGAGTCAGGAGCTGGGTCTGGGTCTGGGTCTGGGTCTGGGTCTGAGTCATATATGTTAAGGTACAGGGTCCACTCTGCAGTGACCAGTGACAGCTCACTGGTCACTGGTCACTGGTCCACACAGTTATGTCCATCCTCAGTCACATGACTGTGATGGAGGAGGCTCTAAGTTTAGAAACACACACACACACACACGGTGAGTTTAAATCTCACCTCACAACCTTGTTAAACAGGTTAATCACTGACCGGAGCAGAGACTGTGTGTGTGTGTGTGTGTGTTCACTTCAGCCAATCACAGCTGATCATCCCCTAATCCAATCATCTCTCTCACACTCACACACACACACACTTCCTGGTGCTGTGACATCATCAGTGCGTGCAGCCTCTGATCAGACCCCCCTCCTCCGCACCCCCCCCTCCTCTCCTCAGGTCTCTGCGCTCTCTGTCCCGCCGCTCCGTGGAGGAGGAGTTTCCTCACCTCTACGCTCACGGCTGCACGCTGCGAGACGTCTGTGCTGAATGCACCAAGTTTGTGGCCGATGTCATTTCCTCCAGCCGCCGCAGCCTGGACTTCCTCAACAACACGCCCAAAAGGGAAGCCACGCCCACAACCACCGCTGCCACAGCCCAGGAACCACGGCTGCAGCGAGAGGAGCAGCTGGACGCTGGTGCCCCGCCCTCCCTGCACTCTGAGCTCCGCCCACAACGGGCACCATCACAAACCACTGCACCACAGCTGGAGCACAGCTTCAAACAATGAGTGGACTGAACACACACACACACAGATTATAATGACTCAGCAGTTCTTCACTGGTCACTGGTGACAGTGAAGCTGCTGCTGGTCAGAACATCTGGTCCAGATTTGACCACAGACATTTTGTGGTGCTGGTCATAGCATGTCAGCTGAAAGTAGTCAGAACAGGTGCAACGACTGGATCAGAACCACAGGGCCCAACTGGACCTTAGAACAAAGTCCACTGTGTCTGAATGTGAAGACAGGAATTCTGGGTAATTTTAATGTAATCAGCCTGGTGGGAATCACTGACCGTGGCTGTGATGAAATCACTGACCATGGCTCTGACTACAGTCTTCTCTTCCTGCTGTTGTTGCCTTCTTTTCTTTTCTCTTTTTTTCAAACGTTATTGACGTCATCAGTTGTTTAACTTAAGCTCCCACACAAATGTTTTTATTTTCTGTTCATTCAAAAACAAAAACCCATCATAACAAACGATGTTGCACCGCTGCATAAGAACAAGCTTTTAGCTGTCCGAGGAACTGATGATGACAACGATGACGATGACGACGACACTGTGAATGTAGACAGAACCTGCACCTTTAACCCTTGCAGCTGGACACTGGGCGCCACTTTGAAGTTGGTCAGATTGACGTCCCGCCGTCAGACGCTGCACAGATGCTTCAACAATCTGGTCAGTTTTTTTGTAAAGAAAGTCAAAATTGATATTAACTACAATAATAATAAATAAACTGCAATAAATTAGTCAACAACGAAAGTCTGTGAGTTTCCCTCGTCCTGCACGCACCTCACAGGTCATGACGAGTAGATTAGCCTTAGCATCTGAGGAGGAAGGAGACGAGGGTTTGAAGGGTTTCCAGAGTTAGGTACATTTGTTGGACTGAAAAATAAATAACTTCAAAAGTATCAACATGAACTGAAAATGTTCGGCTTCTTCCTTCGTGTGTAAAAAAAAGCTGCGGAGCTTCATGTCTATTGGCTGAACTCACTCTGACGTCGCTGAAACTTTAACAGGAAGTCAAGGGATTTTTACCTTCACAATAAAAGCAAACATTTGGGCACATTTTTTCCCACATTTATATAATACGTTTAAAAGAATTTATATACCTATAATGTAGTAATTCGTAAATTATTTTAAATATAAACAACCTCCTTATATTTTTCGTTTACTGAAAAAGATCATAAAGAATGAATTACGCATCTCCTCCGTGGTGATTTTTTCTCGTTTAATTTTGAAGTTCCTCCAGCGGAAGTGTCGTGTTGTTGTTCCGGTGCCTTGACAGTGTCAGTGTGGCAGCTTAGAGTCTAGAGTGAACAACAACCCGGAGAAAGAAAAGTGTCCCGTCACTGCCGCTGTTTCTCTTCCTCCTATTTTTAATCGTTTCCTTGTTTCTCTCTGATTTTATTCTTCCTCCGGACACAGAGGACTCTCTCCCGTCCTCCCCCCGCCTTTTACCCCTCTCTGTCCCTCCAGGCCCGGACTCGGTGGGTGTGTCGATGCGGGCCAGCCGAGCCGCGTCGCAGCCTGAAAAAAGCGGAAAAAGTTAAGGATGAGTTCAGTGTGAATCCGGGGACACGAACCTAGTCCGGGATGGCAGTCTGGACCCGAGCGGATAAGAACGGTCAACTCGACCTTCTACTGCGAGACCGCTGGACCCGAGTGTTCGCCGAGCTGAGCCGGGAGACTCTGACTCTGACGGCGGAGGCGGACGCGGCCGCAGCGGTGGCATCGAACCACCACAACCAGCATTGGACCGATGGCGGCTCCCCCGCGGGCCTACGAAACGGTATGTCCAACGGGAACGAGCCCGGATCAAGTCCGGGGAACCGAGAGAATCCCGGTCGCTCAGTCGGTGTCAGCCGGGGACAGTACGACGGAAGTTTCAGCGTCAACAGTCCTGGAAAGTACCAGAACAACGGCACTAACTCCGAACTGAGCTACGGAAGCCCCGGTTCCAGCTTCGGGTCCAAACACGCAGACTTCCCCGCGGACGGCTCCTCGGAGGCGGTGCGGAAAGTGCGTGTGGTGAAGCAGGAGTCCGGCGGGCTGGGGATCAGCATTAAGGGCGGCCGGGAGAACCGAATGCCCATCCTCATCTCCAAGATCTTCCCCGGACTGGCTGCGGACCAGAGCCGCGCTCTGCGGGTCGGCGACGCGATTCTGTCCGTGAACGGTAACGACCTGCGGGAGGCGACCCACGACCTGGCGGTACAGGCTCTGAAGAAGGCCGGCAAGGAGGTGACCCTGGAAGGTGAGTGAGATCAGCCGAGAGCAGAGATTCGCAGTAGCTGAACTCCGGGCGTGGTGGCCCGGCCGCGCACATGGGCGTCAGGGCTGGTGTTAGTAAACATGACAGCAGTGGTTTATGGTAGTTCCACAGCTCAGAGGCGGAACACGGAGTTGGATTAGCGGACAGCGGGATCTTGGCTGGACGAGTTTCTAACGAACGACGTCCGAATCCGAAACTTGAAAAATTGAAGCCAAAGTCAATAAAAGTCTTCGTCCCGTACAACGGTGTGGATAGGCTAGCTGACATTAGCATCCAAACTAGCCATGCCCTGAGTTTTTAATATTTGTCGTGTTGTGAATGTGTTCATATTTTTGGCTAATCTTTATTTGTCTTTGTTTCGTTTTTAGATCATCTTCGGTTGATTTTTTTCCCGTTATTTTTTCTGTTTTCGCTATTTTTTATAAACGTTTTTTTAATTTTATGTCTTTTTACGTATTTTCATGCTAACATAAAATTATCTTATTTTTTAAGAGTGGTTTCTGAGTGACAAATGTGCACAGCTACATGAGGTGCGAGCGCCCCCTCATGGTCCTTTTCAGCTTCTTAACAAAAGTTTACCAAAAAAATGTAAATTTCTGTCTGGTTCTCTGAAACACTTTCACTGGACACCGCAGTATTTCTACACCCGTTATAAACAAACACACGCTGCACGGAGGGAGGATCAACAACGGCACAGAGGAACTTTGATTAGAGTAAACACTGAGAGTCCACGGTGGAGACAGCGTCACTCTGTTTGTCTTTCATCACTGGTAAAGACAACAGTTTGGACCAGACCAAGGTGAACGTCCCTTCACCAAGGGAATCATGGGAAAATACAACACGTTGGTCACGACTGTAAAGTCAAATTAAACAACCAGTAACTGAAACGACTCCAGACTTCAGACTCAACCACATTATTATTTTTTAAGTGATGGTTTTCAATGACTCAGTCCTGGGGAGTGAGGTGTTTGGGATTTCATAACTTTTACGTGGGGGCGCTGTTTCTTCCTCCAAATTGTCCTGTGATTTGTCAACTGTCGTGGAGGAGGAGCTTAAAGCTGTAGCTCAGTCTGGCGTCACTTGAACTGTTTGGAACCTGGACCAAGTCACAGGAACTGTTTTAAAAATCTGATCACAAAACCTTTTCAGACAAAAACATAAAAAATGCAAAAATGTCACTGCAGCTGGATGTTCTGGACCAGAGGATGTTCTGGACCAGAGGATGTCCTGGTCCAGAACATCCTCTGGTCCAGAGGATGTTCTGGTCCGGAGGATGTGATCTGTGCCAGGGATCCATGGAGACTGGTCCTAGAACTGAACCTCGCTGATGCAGAACTGTTCGATCAGCAGAAAAGTGCAAAGAGGCTGTGTGTGTGTGTGTGTGTGTGTGTGTGTGTGTTTGGGGAGGGGGATGTTGGAGGCCGCAGAGCCCTCAGGGCTTGGAAACTTGAGGCCAGGAAAAGAACTAAACTCCATGTTTAATGGTTTGGAATGATGGCTGCAGTGAATTCTGATGAGCAGGAATTTCACCAAACCGATCAGTGAGGAGGGCTTTCAGCACGGTCTGGGCTATAAACTCTTCACCCCCCCCCCCCCCCCCCCCCCCCACCACCCCAAAGTCCATAGAGAAAACCAATGATTTTGGTTATAAACATGCGTCAAACTGTGGCTCAAACCTTCACATGATCAGATTATAGAAACTCATCTTCTCCGCTGCAGCAAAGATTAAAATCTGAAAACGTACTGAACCTTCGCAGCAGGTCAAACGGTCGACAGCTGTGACCTTTGCCCTTAATATGCACTTTGAAATTGGAGGTCAGCAATGTGGGGCATTTCAGCTAATTGTGAGAATATCTTTGCGTGAGTGTGTGTGCACTTGTACACACCTTCTGACTAACTGACGGAGCCAGACCACAAACAGAAACATCTCTCTGTCAGTCAAACTGACAAACAGTGACGAGCAGCTGACAGATTCCTCCAGACCAGACTGTGTGTGTGTGTGTGTGTGTGTGTCTGACTGTGGAGTGATTGGTTTGAACACTGAAGTCAACAGCCATGGCCACAATATAGAGGATTTTGAATGATTTTGACTGAAATAACATCCCTGACCAGAGTCCATAGAGAGAGTCAGGGATTTGAACTCACAGTCACACACACACATCTACCTCTCAGCTGGAGCGACGTTAGTTTTGGCTCATTGTTCTTGTTATGTTTCTGAAGACAAAACAGGTTTTGGTGGAAGGAGAAAGTGGACAAGGAGAAAAGAAGGTTTGAGGAGGCAGGAGGTGTGAGGAAGGAGAGAGGGAGGGAGGAAGAAGGGAGAGAATGAAGGAGGAAAAGAAAAGTAGAGCAGGAATCAGAGGTGTGGGCCAAACCACAGGGGAATTTCTGGGCAGTTTTAGGGGAAAAATCCCGAGGCCGGGGTCTGACCGCCTCACTCTGTGAGCTATTATTGAGTTATTTCACCCTCACTATAACATGATCACTGTCTGTGTGTGTGTGTGTGTGTGTGTTGTTATGGTTTTGCAGCAGTAACAAAGCCGCAGCACAAATGTGTCTCCACTCAGAGTCTTCTTCTCCAGTTTCATGCTGGTCTCCTCTGGTCCACTCCACGTCTGGACCAGACCTGCTGTCAGTCAGTCTTCAGTCCTGACTGTCCGCCCCGGGCTGCAGGACCAGTCTGCTGTCATCTGATCTGCCTTCGCTCCGACTGGACTGACACATACGTACAGTACGTCATGTCTGTGGAGACGGCGACACATTTACCTGGGTTTAAATGAGCCACTGTAGGCTCCGCCCACTACACCCCCCACCACCTACACACGCTCAGTGAGGTAGTGTATGCCATTCTGACGGTTCCCTGCTGGATTACGTTGTATTAGAGTGACTGGATCAACTGAACCTGACTGTAATATAGAAGAAAATTCAAAACAACATATCGTTGCTGTCTTCTTTAACTGAAGAGCCCGTGGGCCGCAGTCCACTGTACTGTACTGTACTGTACCGTACTGTACTGTACTGTACCGTACTGTATTGTACTGTACTGTACTGTAGTGTACTGTACTGTACTGTAGTGTACTGTACTGTACTGTACCGTAGTGTACTGTACTGTACTGTACCACTGAGACACCAACTGTTGAATGATGTGGATGTAAAAATGTGTACTTTGTGTGTTTTTGTGGTACAACAGGTTATAACACGTTAACGAATGGAAGTCACTCACTACTGCCATCATGTGTTGGTGGCTCTTGGTGAGTTGGCGCTGATGGTGACGTGGTGTAGTGGCTCAGCGTTCGCAGTGGCAGACCTCTGGTATCAGGGAACGCTGCAGACGTTTGTGAGGTTACTGTCACTTTAAGAGAGAGGAGCTCTGTGGAGGCGGGACTCGTGGCTCAGGCCACACACAGTGGAACGGTTCTCTAACTGTGGTCTGTTTCAAAATAGGAGAACGTTGTATTTGGAGTTCCTGTAAGAGACTCTGTCAGACGGTGTGACTGATGGTACACCAGGTGAACTGGTGTCATCATATAATAATAATACTAGGACAGAGAGAGTTCAGGGTCCAAACCAGGACAAAGACGGGTCTGACTGTGGTTCTGGCCGTGAGGACACATTCATACCCGTTCATCCATCCATATCCAGTCCACCCATTCATCCCACAGAGAGGCAGAGTGACGGCACAGTCAGGAACAAAGACAGTCCTGGTCCTCTGTGGACAGAACTAATTAGAACACAGGAAGTGGATCTGACAGAACTAATGAGTTCCTTAAACCGGAACAAACACCCACAGACACACAGACCTGCTGGGACCTGGACTGGACTGGACTGGACTGGACTGGACTACTCATCATTTGGGTTGTTCAGTATTAGGAACTAACCTACGGCCCCAGTTAGTACCAGGATCCTTCACTGAAGTACTGAACCATAAACATGAGGTTGACGTTCCCTCTGTTCCTGGTCCAAGGACTGACCATCGACTTTGTCCTCTGGTTGGCAGCACACACACAGTTCACAAAATTCCTCAGTCACACTCTCTCTCTCTCTCTCTCTCTCTCTCTCTCTCTCTCCAGTCGTTACATCTTCAGTTCAGAGCAGACCTGCGGACCAGTGCATTACTTCAGACTGACATCATATTTCTGTTCATACACACACACACACACACACTCTGATAATACTCATCAGAGTTTGTCTCAGGTTTCATAAAACAATCCAATAATACACACACTCAGGCTGGAGCTGGAGTTAACATGGCCACGTGTGTGTGTGTGTGTGTGTGTGTGTGTCTTCATCAGTGAACTGAACAACTGCAGGTTATATAAATGTCCATCGGTCAGAAAGTTCACAGACAGGGTTGTTTCTGTAGTAGTAGTAGTAGTAGTAGTAGTAGTAGCAGTAGCAGTAGCAGTAGCAGCAGTAGCAGGAGCAGCAGGAGG